TGATATGATTTGACTCTTTGATCGAGTACGTATGATGTTTTAGGACTGGTTGCTTTGTTTGGTTGAGCTCCCAGGGACCTCGAGTGTGATTCGGATCATGTTCGGCGCATTTTGAACCTTAAAATATTTCTGATTTTGTTGGTGCTGGTTTTATTATTTCAATGAGCCAAAGAGATTCTTCCACATTATTTGACCCTGGTTCTACTTATTCCTATGTAAAATTCTATTTTACTCGTTATTTGGATATGCCTCGTGAGTCCTTAGTTTCACCTATTCATGTATCTACGCTGGTGGGCGATAATATTGTTGTGGACCTTGTTTATTGGTCGTGTGTGGTGATCATTGGAGGGTTGGAGACTAGAGTTGATCTTTTATTACTTAGTATGGTTGATTTTGGCATGATCTTGGGTATGGATTGGTTGTCTCCAAGACTGTGACGTTGGCGATGGCGGGGTTGCCAAGGATCGAGTGGAAAGGTTCTCTAGATTATGTTCCCGGCAAGATGCTTTTATATTTGAAGGCCCAACTAATGGTTAGGAAGGGGTTTTTGTCATATTTGGCCTTTGTCAGAGATGTTGGTGCTGATACTCCTACTATTGATTCTGTTCCGGTAGAGCGAGACTTTTCAGATATGTTTTCTGCAGACCTGCCGGGCATGTCACCCGACATGGATATTGATTTTGGTATTGACTTGGTGCCGGGCACTCAACCCATTTCTATTCCTCCGTATCGTATGGCACCAGCAGAGTTAAAGGAGTTAAACTAGTAGTTTCAGGAGTTTCTTGATAAGGGGTTTATTAGGCCTAGTGTGTCGCTTTGGAGTGCACCAATTATGTTTGTGAAGAAGAATGGTAGTACTATGCTGATGTATATTGACTATAGGCAGTTAAACAAAGTTACAATCAAGAACAAGTATCCTTTGCCGCGCATTGATAATCTACTTGAACAGCTTCAAGGAGTGAATGTGTTCTCTAAGATTGATCAGAGATCTGGGTATAACCATTTAAAGATTCGGGAATTGGATATTCTGAAGGCGGCATTCAGGACCTGTTATGGTCATTATGAGTTCCTTGTGATATCTTTTGGGCTGACCAACGCCACATCAGCATTCATGCATCTAATGAGCAGTGTATTCCCGCCATGTCTTGATTCGTTTGTCATAGTATTTATTGATGATTCCTGGTGTACTAACGTAGCCAGGAGGAGCATACACAACATTTGAGGATTGTACTACAGAGGTTGAGGGATGAGAAGTTTTATGCCAAGTTCTCCAAGTGTGAGTTTTTGCTCAGTTCGGTGGCATTTTTTGGGGCACGTAGTGTCCAGTGAGGGGATTAAGGTGAATCCAAAGAAGATAGAGGCAGTTCAGAGTTGGCCTAGACCGTCTTTAGCTACTGAGATTTTAAGTTTTCTCCGCTTGACTGGATATTATCATCGCCTCGTGGAGGGTTTCTCGTCCATTGTAGCGCCTTTGACCAGGTTGACCCAGAAGGGTGCTCCATTCAGGTGGTCGGATGAGTGTGAGGAGATCTTTCAGAAGCTCAAGACTACCTTGACCACAGCTCGGGTTCTAGTTTTGCCTTCAGTGTCAGGCTCTTATACCGTGTATTGTGATGCTTCTCGAATTGGTATTGAGGTAGAGTGATTGCTTATGCTTCAAGCCAATTGAAGCCCCACGAGAAAAACTACCCCATTCATGATTTGGAGTTGGCAACCATCGTTCATGCATTGAAGATTTGGAGGCAGTATCTCTACGGTGTGTCTTGTGAGGTATTTATGGATCATCGGAGTCTCCAATACTTATTCAAACGGAAGGATCTAAATTTGAGGCAGTAGAGATGGTTGGAGCTACAAAAGGACTATGATATTACCATTCTGTATCATCCCAGGAAGGCCAATGTAGTGGCCGATGACTTGAGTAGAAAGGCGGTGAGTATGGGTCGCCTTGCATTTATTCTGCTAGGTAAGAGACCGCTTGCAGCAGATATTCACGCCTTGGCCAATCAATTCGTGAGATTAGATATTTCGGAGCCTAGTCGAGTTCTAGCTTGTGTGGTTTCTCGATCTTGCTTATATTATCGCATCGGGGAGCATCAATATGATGATCCCCATTATCTTGTCCTCGAGGACACAGTTCAGCACGGTGATTCCAATGAGGTTACTATTATGGATGATGGGATATTGCGGATGCATGGTTGGATTTGTGTGCCCAATGTGGATGGGCTACATGAGTTGATTCTTGAGGAGGCCCATAGTTCGCGGTAGCACTATTGCTGGAGGAGGATGAAGAAAGATAAAGTGTGATTTGTAGCTCGGTTCCTAAATTATCAGCAGGTGAAGTACGAGCATCAGAGACCAGACAGATTGTTTCAGAGGGTTGAGATTCCGGAGTGGAAATGGGAGAGTATCACCATAGACTTCGTAGTTGGGCTCCCACGGACATCGAAGAAGTTTGATGCTATTTGGATGATTGTGGATTAGTTGACCAAGTCCGCTCATTTCATTCTAGTTGGGACTACTTATTCTTCGGAGCGATTGGCTGAGATCTACATTTGCGAGATTTTTTGCCTTCACGGTGTGCCGGTGTCCATCATTTTCGATCGGGCACGCAGTTTACATTGCAGTTTTGGAGAGCAATGCAGCGAGAGTTAGGCACACGAGTTGAGTTGAATACAACATTTCACCGTCAGACAGAAGGACAGCCCGAGCGCACTATTCTGATATTGGAGGATATGCTACGCGCTTGTGTCATAGATTTCGGTGGTTCTTGGGATCAGTTTCTGCTGTTTGCAGAGTTTGCCTACAACAACACTTACCAATCGAGCATTCAGATGGCTCCTTATGAGGCTTTGTATGGGAGACGGTATGGGTTTCCGCTGGGTTGGTTTGAGCCAGGTGAGGCTAGGCTATTGGGTACTGACTTGGTTCAGGATGCTTTGGACAAGGTTAAGTTGATTCAGGATCGGCTTCGCATGGCGCAGTCTAGACAGAAGAGCTAGCTGATGGGAAGGTTCATGATGTTGCTTACATGGTAGGAGAGAAGGTACTGCTCATATTTTCACCCATGAAAGGTGTTATGAGGTTCGGGAAGAAGGGCAAGTTGACCCCTCGGTATATCGGCACGTTTGAGATGCTTGAGAGGATTGGGGAGGTGTCTTACAGGCTTGCATTGCCGCCTAATCTATTGAGTGTTCATCCAGTGTTTCAAGTATCCATACTCCGAAAGTATGTCGATGATCCGTCTTATGTTTTGGACTTTAGCAAGGATCAGTTGAATGGTGATTTGACTTATGATGTAGAGCCGGTGGCCATTTTGGATCGGTAGGTTCGAAAGTTAAAGTCAAAGAACATAGTTTCTGTGAAGGTGCAGTGGAGAGGTCAGCCAGTCGAGGAGGCTACTTGGGAGACCGAGCGGGGGATGCATAGCAGATATCCATTCTTATTTAGACTCCAGGTATTATTCTAGACCCGTTCTAGGACAAACGTTTGTTTAAGAGGGGAAGGATGTAACTACCCGGCCGGTATTTTTGAGTGTTGTATCTCCGTTCCCCCATTTACTGATTATTATATGCTCAATTATTGTTATGTAACTTGTCGGGGTAGTTTGTTTGGTTACGGTGTTGTTTCGGAATGAATCGGGACACTTAGTCCCAAGGTTAGAAGCCTAAGTTGAAAAAGTTGACCGCATGTTGACTTATGTGTAAATGGCTCCGAAATGGAGTTTTGAAGGTTCTAATAGCTCGGTGGGGGGCTTTTTGACTTAGGAGTGTGTCCGGATAGTGACTTGGAGGTCCGTAGGTGATTTTGGCTTGAAATGGCGAAAGCTGAAAAATTAGAAGGTTGGAGAGTTGAGAAGTTTGACCGAGAGTTGACTTTGTGGTTACCAGAATCAGATTTTGGTTCTAGAAGACGGAATAAGTCCGTTGAGTCAATTATGACTTGTGTGAGTTGATTTGATAGGTTTCGGCATCGAATATAGAAGTTAGATGTTCATAAGTTCATTAGGCTTGGATCGATGTGTGTTAGGTGGTTTTAGTGTTGTTTGATGTGATTTGATGCTTTGAGCGAATTTGTATGATATTTTAGGACTGGATGGTATGTTTGATTGAGGTCCCAGGGGACTCGGGTGTAATTCGGATCATGTTCCGTGCATTTTGAACCTTAAAAGATTTCTAATTTTGCTGGTGCTGGTTTTCGTGTACGTGATCCCGAAAGGAGGGTCGCGATCGCGAAGTGTTATTGTGGAAGCTAGGATTTTGTTCTATGCGTTCGCGAGCTTGAGACTGTGATCGTGTAGGTTGGAGAGGCAGTGAATCGCGAACGCGTGGGTCTAGTCGCGTTCGCGAAGAGGAAAAAAGGAGATTGGATTCACACGAATTTGTTATTCGCGATCGCGTAATGATGTCTGTGATAGCGTACGTCTGGGATTTTGTGAGTCGTGTTCGCGTGGGCTTATACGCGTTTGCGTAAAGTGATTTTTTTGCAGCTTAGGATTTTTTCTTCACGATCGCCAAGCATTTCCGGCGATCGCTAAGAAGGACATATGGGCAGACTCTTTAATATCAAAAACGAGGGTTTGAGTTATATTTCACAATTTGATTTTGGGAGCTCGGGTTGAGGCGTTTTTTGGAGAGATTTTCAAGGGAGTGATTGGGGTAAATGATTCTAACTCAAATTTTGTTAAATTACATGAATATATCATTGATTTCATCATTTAGTTAGTGTTTTCGGTTTAACATTGGTGAAAAATTATAGACACTTCCGAGGCTTTAATTTGAGGATTTGAAGGTCGAGTTGTGATCGGATATGAGTAGTTTTGGTATGGGTGGACTAGTGGTTGAATGGGTGTTCGGATTTTGTTAATTTTGTCGGATTTCGAGACGTGGGCCCAAGATTGACTTTTTGAGTTGTATTTTTGACTTTTGATTAAGAACTTAGCATTTTCATATAAAATTGATTTCTATAGGTTGTGTTGATTGTATCCAATTGTTTGTGGCTAGATTTGAAGCGTTCTAAGGCCGATTCACGAGGAAAGGGCTTATTGGAGTAGAGATTTACACGGCTTGAGGTAAGTAACACTTCTAAACTTAGTTCTGAGGGTATGAATCCCTGAATTATGTGTTATGTGATTGGTGTCGAAGTGACGCACATGCTAGGTGATAGGCATGTAGGCGTGCAGCATAAGAATTGTGATTTGGTCGATTCCGTGGAACTGTGTAGTCATATAATTTGTTATTTTCCACGTATTCCCCATGTGTTAAAGAAATTGAGCTGTGATTCATGTTAGAAGTCATGCTTAGGCTATATGCTGGTATTGTTCGGACCCACAGAGGTCGTGTTGTTGTTGAATTATTTGCTTAATTTGCAATTATGTTCTCAGTCATAGCTATCATTTGTATATCATATCTCAGTCTCTGATGTCGTTTATTAATGCATCATATCTTGATACTTGTGAGCCCGAGAGACTCGAGAGATTGATGACTGAGTGAGGCCGAGAGCCTGATTGTGAGGATGTTTATGGGATCGAGTTGCGTGCCACAGCAAGCTGTATTGATTCATGTCATGATTGGCTTATTATAGCGCTTGGGCATGATCCGCCCCTCTGGAGTCTGACTCATCGGCAGTGAGCACAGGTACCTAATAAGTGCGAGTGCGAGTGCCAAGTGTGAGTGCCGAGCGATTGGGAGGAATGAGTGACTGTGAGGATTCAGGGAATGGGAGGACTGAGTGAATTAATACTCCGAGAGTATGCCTATGATTTTATCACTGTGTTGCACTGCACTTGGCATGCATAATTGAAATGTGGATATGGAGAAGTACCGTTCCTCATTCTAGTCACACTTGGCATATTATATACGTTTTGAGCTTAACTGTTGAACTTGAAAGCATGTTTACATTTCTGTACTGTTAAACTCTGTATTTTAACCGTACTTGTTGAGCTCATCACTGCTTTCAGCCCAAGGTTAGTCTTGTTACTTATTGAGTACATTGGGTCATTTGTACTCATACTATACTCTGCACTTCGTGTGCAGGTCCAGGTACTTCCGGGTACGGTGGTTACTGATTTTGGACCTTTATCAGTTCAGAGATTCTCGATGTAGTTGCTTTGGCATCCGCCGACCTATACTCTCCGCCTTTATCTTTAAGTTTGATTTATACTGTTCTACCTTCCTAGATAGTGTTTCACTAGTTAAACCATGTTATTGTAAATGCTCATGTACTCAGTGACACTCGGATTTTGGGAGAATGTAAAACTGAGTCGCGCTATTTTCATATTAGTATTTATGAGATTTATTCTTAAGCTATTTTAATATGTTTTCAATCTTAAAGAATGTGTGGTTTATTGTAGTTGTCGGCTTGCCTAGTATTGTAATAGGCGCCATCACGACATGTGAGATTTGGGTCGTGACACAGATCGACCTCCACACTGACAAGCTCAAACTTCAGAGAGTTGGTATTTTGACATTTCAAATGTGCGGTCCGCAAGAGGAATGTGCAGCCGCAATACTCTTCTGCTATGGCACATAGAAATGTGCGGTCCGCACAAATAAAGTGCGGTCCGCACAATTTTAAACACTTAGCCATATTTTTGTCCACCTTTCTTGTAAGTCACACTTATCCCTATAGGACACTTCAAATCAAGTAAGAACACAAATAACACCTAACTACAAAAGAAAAAAGGAAAAGAAACATGGGTTGCCTCCCAAGAAGTGCCTGATTTAACATCGCATCATGACGCAAAATACCCTCAAGAGAAAGGAATGACCGCCACCACGTGCCTATATCTAACCTTGCCCAAGTGGTGCTTCACTCGGTGACCATTGACTCGGAATACTTCATTATTTTTGTTCTTCAAGTCTAATGCACCAAAAGGTGTTACACCAAAAATTTTAAAAGGACCACTCTACTTGGATTTTAGCTTCCCGAGAAACATCCTCAACCTTGAGTTAAACAATAATACAAGATCGCCCACCTTGAACTCTTTGTTCCAAATGTATTTGTCATGAAGATATTTCAACTTTTCTTTGTACAAGGACGAACTTACATAAGCATGGTACCAGAACTCATCTAATTCATTCAAATGCACAACCCTGAAGTTAGCAGCTACATCCCAATCAAGATTCAACTTCTTTAGAGCCCACATTGCCTTGTGCTCTAGTTCCACCGGAAGATGAAACGCTTTTTCCAAACACCAACCTGTATGGCGACATTCTGATAAGTGTTTTGTAAGTCGTCCGATAAGCCCATAATGCATTATCAAGCTTTTTGGACCAATCCGGCAAATTAGCATTCACTATTTTTGACAAGATACTCTTTAACTCCCGGTTGGAGACTTCCACCTGCCCACTAACTTGTGGGTGATAGGCAGTCGTGACCTTGTGTGTAACACCATACTTGCTAAGTAAAGTGTCAAAAGCCTAGTTGCAGAAGTGTGACCCCCATCGCTTATAATTGCACGTGGAGTACCAAACCCTGATAAAACATTCTTCTTCAAGAAAGCCACTACACTTCTCGCCTCATTGTTGGGTAAAGAAACGGTCTCAACCCATTTGGACACATAATCCACCACGACCAAGATGTAGGTATTTCCACAAGAACTCACAAAAGGGCCCATGAAGTCAATGCCCCACACATCGAAAATATCAATCTCCAAAATAGTTGTGAGAGGCATTTCATTTTTCTTTGAAATTCTACCGGCCCGTTGACATTCATCACATATTTTCACTAACTCACTAGCATCTTTGTAAAGAATAGGCCAATAGAAATCACAACTAAGCACTTTGGTCATCGTTCTCACTCCACCATGATGACCACCATATGGCAAAGAATGACAAGCCCCAAGAATATCACCTTACACATCTCCAAATCACCCCATCCATACAAATCTGGAAAAGGTATGGTTCTTCCTAATAATAATCTTGAAAATCCCTTTTGAGCTTCTTCTTTTGGCTTGAAGATAACTCATCCGAAATGATTCCACACATAAGAAAATTTGCTAAGTCCGCGAACCATGGCACCTCTTTCATTGAAATTTCCAAAAGTTGCTCATCGGGGAAGGAGACATTGATTTCAAGGCCAACATGCGGCCTCCCCTCCTCCTCCAAACGAGACAAGTTGTCTGCTACTTGCTTTTCACTACCTTTCCTATCTTGGATTTCAATATCAAATTCTTGTAACAAGAGCACACATCTCATCAACTGAGCTTTAGAGTATGTTTTTCTTATAAGATACCGAAGCGCCGCATGATCCATGTGGACAATAACTTTTGCACCCATCATGTACGGGCAGAACTTCTCAATTGCAAACATAATAGCAAGGAACTCTTTCTCCGTAATGGTATAGTTGACTTGGGCACTATTCACGGTCTTGCTAGCATAATAGATCAGATCAAAAATCTTGTTGCTACGTTGCCCCAATTAGACCCAACCGTTATGTAATTTGTATCACACATGAGTTCAAAAGGCACACTCTAATTTGGAGCGGTGATCATGGGAGTAGTTGTCAACTTGAGCATCAATAATACAAAATCTCTCATGCCATCATCATTGAAATTAAACCTGGCATCCTTCTCAAGAAGCTTGCACAACGGGTTCACCGCCTTAGAGAAACTTTGATAAAATATCGGTAAAAACCTGCATGGCCTAAGAAATGCCGCACACCCCCATTTGAACTTTTAGGTTGCGGATTGATGAGGTTGTCTGAGGCAAGTTGGGCATCCGAATCGGCATTCTTTTCCATCATTTTCTTGATCATAATTTCAATACATCCCATCTCGTTGTTTGAAGAACTTGAACCATGGGAAGGATAAGGAGGTTGGTTGCTCGGTTGTTGGTGCATCGGGGGCCTTTGAAAACCCGACCATCGGTTTCCTTGATTGCTATTGATTGTTGCCTCCCCAATTTCCTTGGTGGTTTCCACTCCAATTTCCTTGATTGTTATTGTTATGCCAATTTCCTTGATTGTTAGAATTCCAATTGCCATGATTGTTTTGTGGTCGCCATTGTTCTTGGTTTGGGACTCAGAAGTTGTTTCTTTGCCATTGAAAAATGTTCACATATTGCACTTCCTCCTCTTGTTCATTATAGGATTCATCTTGCTCAAAACCACAATCGTCTTGCACATAGTTCTCCACTGGAGTTTGCACTTATGGACTCTTGGTCCTCCTCTTGTTCACCATCATGCTCACTCCCTCCATAGCATTAGCTTGCTTAGGAGCTTGCATTACTTGGGCCTTTTCTAGTTGAGTCATGGTAGTGGTCAATTTGGCAATGGCTTGCCCATGGTCTTGCAATTCTTTGTGAAGGTGGATCATATTCAGATCACCTTGTGGGACATTGGCCCGAGATTAGCATGTCGATGACGTTTCTGCCATCTCATCCAAGATTTCACACGCCTCTGCATAAGGTATAGTCATAAAGTTCCCACCGGCTAGTTGATTCACTACACATTGATTGGTTATGTTAATCCCACAATAAAAAGTTTGTTGAATCATGTTTTCCATCATATCGTTGTTGGGATATTCCTTAACCATTGTTCTATAGCGCTCTCATATTTCGTGTAGTGGTTCATTTGGCTCTTGCATGAATGCAAAGATCTCATCTCGAAGTGTAGCCATGTGCCCGGAAGAGCAAAACTTAGCAATAAACGTTTCCGCCAGCACATCCCAAGTATGAATTAAATGGTTTGGCAATAATTCTGACCAATCTAAAGCATTCTCCCGTAGAGAGAAGGGAAAAAGCCTAAGCCTCAATGCATCCTCGGAAACATTAGTTTGCTTTCTCCCCCAACATGTATCCACAAAGCCCTTCAAATGTTTGTAAGCATTTTGAGTTCGAGCACCGGTAAAGAAACACCATTGCTCAAGAAAAGTGAGCATCACATTGGTTATTTGGAAGTTGCCTATTGCACTAGCATAACCTTCCTTAGGTAATATCCGGTGTGGAGCCGCTCATGGTGGAGGTAGGGGTGGAACGGGCACGTTGTCATGAGGTACCCGGCCTCTCCGATTGGCTTGAGGTTGAAGAGGTACATCTTCTACTTGCTCCTCTTCGCTGTTCAATTCCCCCAAAGGCAAATTTTCGAGATCATTATTCGCCACGGTTGAACCTATAATTTCTCACACAAGTTAGTAACATGGAAGGAAAAGAAAATATTCCAAAAACAAACTCAAATATATAGCTAACACCTTTTTAACTCCATGGAAATGGTGCCAAAGTTAATCCACGTCCAATTCGCACTCAATAGTGAGTGGAAACGTTCGTTAGAAGAATAGTATCCCAACAAGAATCAGGGTCGATTTCCACAGGGAGTTTAACATGGTGTTAGGGGTATACACTTGATGAGAATAAATGGAACAACTAAATTGCACTTCCAAACAAAGGGTTTTGATTTCTACTTCTAAATTAACAAAGGGTTTTGATTTCTACTTCTAAATTAACTCTAACAATTATAAGCTAAAGAGAACAAACTAGAAAGTGAATGATTATTTTTGTTATTTTTCCAAATGGTTATAAAGCCTAGGGATGTGACCTTAACCTAGGTGTTCGCCTAATGGGTTAAATACGTTAACACTTGTTTTATTGATCGGGGTGTATTATTGCTCTCAACCCCAAGTTACCACTCAATACCTCACGGACATAGAGTGATTTTGCCCAATTTGGCTTTATCAAGCCCAAATGGGTATCAAGCTAAATAGTTGATATGAGGTCAAGTTGAGTTCTCACTATCTCTAGTTCAAAGTCTTTATTTAAGCTAATCAAACCTTTAATTAGCCCAATTTCTTATTAGCCATGTTTTCCTAGACTCGGTACCTCTTTCTCAAGTAAGAACCAAGTTAAATAGGCATGAATCAATGTTTGCAACCATTAATTATAAAATTAAAGCATAAACAAGGCTAAATAATCAACAATCAATCATAAACAAGCATTAAATTAAATATCCATAATAGGGTTGGGTCACAACCCTAGTAAGAATCTAGATACTTATAGTGAAAAATGAAGAAAACAAAGAAGAAATACTAATTAAACTCATAATCTAAGATTATAATGGTAAAATATGATGTTTAAATCCCAAAATAGTCAAAGTCTTCCTAAAATAGCAAAATACAATGGCTAAAGCACCTCAAACTTCAAAACTTAACCTAAAAAGTAATTCTCGTCTATTTATAGTGGACCAAAATTCGCTGACAAAAACATCTCTCAGGAAGTTTTGCGGCCGCACAATTCCATGTACGGTCTACATATTTCTTCACCTTGCAAGGACTAGGATTCTGC